TGCAAAAATGATCTATAACTTTCTTGTAAATACACATACCCTCTTTGGTTTCAATCTTATATTGATTATTTAGATCATTCGTGATTTCAAGTTTAGTAATCCCACTATCCTGATGCACCCGTGTTGACATGCTATATGCTCTTAGATTTGAGACCTGGAGAGAAAGGCTTGGATTGGCCAACAAGGAAACATGTAGCTTTTGGTGCAGCCCATGGTTTGGAGTATCTACATGATCATTGTAGCCCAAAGATTATACATCGTGATTTAAAAGCAGCAAACATCCTTTTAGATGAAAATTTTGAGCCTGTTCTTGGAGATTTTGGACTAGCAAAGCTAGTTGATACAAAACTGACCCACATAACCACTCAAGTGCGTGGTACCATGGGTCACATTGCCCCAGAATATTTGTCTACTGGAAAATCTTCTGAGAAGACTGATGTATTTGGATATGGAATAACACTTCTTGAACTTGTAACTGGTCAGCGTGCAATTGATTTTGCTCGGCTAGAAGAGGAAGAGGATGTTCTTCTGCTTGACCATGTAAGATTTTCAGTCTCTTCTAACATTTTTTACTTTGCATACTGTTTATATGTTTGTGATTGTGGAAGTGCTCTTGCAAATTGATGTTTTTATCCGGATTGGCATGGGAAGCCTTGTCTGGACATCAAGAAAAATATTTTCCCAGCCTGACATGGTTACATCCAGTAGAATTCTTCTTTTGTCCTCTCTGTTAACAGCTGTCTGGGTCTAGGCCCTTCTCTCCCTAATCCTCCTAAAAATGAGATGTAGTGGCTATGAAATAGGCATTAGCTTTAGATTATGATTTTGGATTTACTTAATCTGACTTTTTTCTGAACATTCAATATGCTTAGTTTTATTTTTATAAAAACCTAGATCTTAGAAAGGTTCTCAAAAAATACGAAGAGAAGAATTATAAACATGAGCAACAATTTGTTATTAGTTTCAACGAAGAACTTGTTCGTAACTTCAAGTTTCACGCTTGAACCATTTTAACGAACAATTAGTTGTTAGTCAAACAACAATTCAACTATTTCAAAAACTAATTAATACTTAGACCTGCAACAGCTAAGATATTTTGACAAACAATTTGTTGCCAAGGAGCAAATTTGAGCAACTAGCCCAATTGAACAACTTTTTTCTTATAAATAAAAGAGTAGAATTAACAAGCACCATGAGGATGCAAAATCCATATGCAAAAGCTTTTCTTGTCTATCAAGATATCAATCAAGTCCCCTAAATCCTCAGTAGTGTAAAGAGTATGATTATTTACCAAAGAACATAGTGTCTGGATTCAGGAATCCTTAATCCTATTAAAAGACCATTTAATGTCCTTAAAAGGCTATTCTATTTCTTTCCTTTCCTAAAACCCCTATAGGACCAGCGGTATAGCCAATTGAAGAACTTTCACAAAAGTTGTGATTACGACAATTGGTTACTGAACTTAATTATTGGAGATGTTTTTCATTTTTATGTCCTTGGAAGTAAATCTAC